GCCTTTTTTGCTTCTCACACTGCCCCATGAGCGAATAGGCTTGGGGTGCACAAGAAGTTGGGACAGCAGACTCCAGCTGACCAAAGGGATATTCCATACCGTATGATCTCATGTTCAGCAGTAAAAGCTGAGGGAAGAAGGAAGGGGAGGGATGTTCAGAGTTAAGGAACTTGTCTTCCCAAGCAACCGTTAGGTGTGATAAAGCCCTGCTTTCCGAGAAATGGCTAAGCATCTGCCTGCTGATGGGAAGTAGCAAATTCATTCCTTATTTTGCTTTGCTTGCATATGCAGATTTCAGTTTACCTATTAAACTGTCTTTATCTCAAGCCATGAGCTTTCCTACTTTTACCGTTCTGATTCCTTCCCCCATCCCACTGCAGGGGAGTGAGTGAGCAGCTGGGTGGTGCTGAGCTGACTACTGAGGGTAAACCATCACAGAGCTACAGCACTCAGCTGAACACAACTCCTGTCTCTGACCATTACTATTTTTGTTTATTTATAACACATCTTTTTTCCCATAACTGAGCTCTGTTTGGATTAAGTCTTTTAATGCAATTTATTAAAAATAGATTTCTGCATCAGTTTGGGTATTACATGTCTACTTCAATATAAAAAAGCATGATGAATGTTTGAAACTGGTATTCATTGTCCTATTCATAAATAGGCTCACAAACAACAAGGGGCTTGCCTCTTGTGCAGTATACTATTAAATCAGAAGGAGAAAAAAGAAAGAGTGGCACAGTGGATGTGAACAGAATAATTTTGAAATATTACAGGGGTTTTTTTATGCATGTTTACCATATTTCTGTATAAGTAAGTAATACAATTGGAGTGCTGAGTAATTTCAGGAATTTAGTGATAAATGAGCACAACTTGATTATTCAAGATAAAGCTGAGGGTCATTATCCTCAGCTGGTCATTAATCCCCATGAAATGACTGGTATTGAGATAGTAATTACTATTATAATGAAAATGGAGAGAAAAAAAAAAAGCATGACATTTTTCTTATGCAGCTGTCAGTTTCTAAAGAATTAATGTTTTTCTCATGACCCATTCAAGCTGCCTGAATGATTTTTAACCCTTTATATAGTTTATTTGTCCTACTACAATTTCATGTTCTTGCCTCACTTAAGATTTGGTTTCCCATCATACATTCTTGGAATTTTGGGGGCACAGCAATGGGCAACAGTGATGTGAAAGAACGACAATACATACAAATCGCCCAAAAAACAGAAAAAATCTTTTCAGAATGATTGCTCTATAAAGTGTGCTCCATGGTGAGGTAGGAGATTGCATTATTACGCTATATGCCATCTAGCTTTTTATTCTGCATTTAATAGTGCCTTTAGCACACATGTTGTTGCACAGCACCTGTGGAATTCTTTGTTCCAAAACAGAATTCACCTTGTAGCCTTACAACATATGGAACTGATACTATCAAGTCAACTTGGTCAGAAATCATGAAGAAATTTGGCCCTAAAATGAAGAAACATCTTTAAAAATTTGCAATTCCATAAATTAAGTTTGTGGTATTCTGATGTGCCTTCTGAGGACTTTTGAGCCTTTGGAGTTCTCTCCTCCCCCCTTTCTACTGGAAGAGCTAGAAATATATTATGGGCAGAAGTGAAGGCAATTTGCTTCCTGCTAGAAACACTATCATTCTGTTTCCACTGTGAAAGACCTACACATGCTGCATCACTACAGCTTCCCATCTTAGAAAATGAAAAACTCAAAGCTTTTAAAACAAGCTAAGAAAGCTAAAAAATAGGTGTATTGCTCTGTATGTTGTTAAAGCAAAAAAAGATACTGATATTCATTACTACTAGTACCTTTTTCTAAAGACTATCTATGAACACTTTTCTAAGAAAGGGATTCCAGAAAAGCTACAGGATGTACTGAGTTTCTGATGGAAAATTTGCAGTTGCTTCTGAAATGTCTCACTGTGTATCAAAGACAGGAAGTAAAGCAAGGCTCAAAACAATTTTAGGCAAGACTGGCTGACAGGATGTTGCTCTGAGGGCTGCAAACCAAATTCTGCATGGTGGAGTAAAATCAGATAATGGCGGACACTGATAAGTGACTTGCAGTGCAGCCTGTGAGAGCGATTTGTCCTTCTAGCTCACTTAAGCTGTTTGGAGTTTGACATGAAACATGATGATGCTTGTCTGCTAGCCAAATGAATCATTCAATAGTGGACAGCTATCGAAACTGGACTGTTTCACTATTTGGAGAGAGTGTGAGAAGGAAAAAAAAAAAAAAAAATTGCTCAAGTCCCGAAAGCTCTGAATCGCATCAAGCAGAGCATACTTTAGAAAACATGGCAAGGCCTCCGGAAATAGAGACATTTATGACAGCCAAGGCCAAAGAGTAGTCTGTCAATTTTCTGTAAGGAAAAATAGTAAGCTAATTCGCAGTAGAACCTTGTCTGGGAAAGAAGTGATGTAACAGTGACAGGGGAACCAAATGTAATTATGCATCACAGCAGGTAATAGGACTCAAAAGCATAGTGAAAAATCAAGGGCATGTATTGTCACTAGTGTCAGATCAACAACTGGGTTGCAGTATGGCTATTTTGTATCTGCCAGGACATGCTAGAGTGACAGACACACATGGAGTGGAGAGGGTCAAAGTCTACAACGATAGCTCTTAAGTAGACACATTAACAATTCCAAGCAAGAAGAAAAAGAAAAAAATCTAATTCATTCCTATAAGGAGATTAACTCCACTCCTTTCACCCACTCCAAAATCAATTTTGTCTTTACTACAAGTCCTACGAACAAAGCACAAATCAGCACTGACTCTGGATAACATATCAGTGCTGCTGAAGAAGTTACATGACTCAGGGGAAACACAACGTGACTTCCAATTCTCCTGTGCTCCTGGTAAAATCAAATACATAGCACATCCACCAATGTGAAGAAAGATGCTGAGAATCCACTGGCCTTCTCCAGACTTTATGTATGTGTGGAAATGTACTGCTTGCTCTTTTTCCCCTGTTTCCTTCTGCAGGACAAACAGCACAGAAAGGAATACCTTTATACTACACTGTCATCCCATGTGGCTATGAAGAATATTTTCTTATGTCCCCTCTAAAATAAAATTTCCAAAAATCTAGATAAATAACTTCAGATTCTACAGAACAACTACTCTCTAGGGAATTCCAGCAGAGCAGAAAAATAAGTAGTCCTGAATAAATCAAGAAAAACAGAATGTTAATTATTTTACTGCTGTTAGTCTCCTGTGCATTTCTGTGGCACTCCTGTGTTACATGTTGAAACTACTAGCACATGTGCCTACAGTACTTAAGCATCCCTTACATTTTAGCGATTACATTTACAGCAACAGGACACAAGGAAATGGAATGAAGCTGCACCAGAGGAAGCTCAGATTGGACATTAGGAAAAAGTTCTTCACTGAGAGGGTGGTCAGTCACTGGAACAGGCTCCCCAGGGAAGTGGCCATGGCATCAAGACTGTCAGAGCTCAAGGAGGACCTGGACAATGCTCTTAGTCATATAGTTTAGTTTTAGGTAGTCCTGCAAGGAGCAGGGAGTTGGACTCAGTGATCCTTTATGGGTCACTTCAGTTGAGATATTCTATGGTTCTACAATTTCCATTAACAGATATCTTATTTTTATAATAGTTTGTGTAAAATACATAAAAGTCCATATTCACACACCTGCTTCACTACAGTTAATTGCAGTAAGATGCTTTTTGCCAGTTTATTTCTGAAATAAATGCCTATACAACACATTTATTCATTTATAATAAGACTTGCTAGATCTTGATGTTAAAAATAAGACCCTTCTTCTTTTCCTTTCTTTTTTTTAATAAGATGTGTGATATTTTTTCTAAAGCACCAAATCTTGGGAGCTTGTGATTAAGACAAAAATTTAAAATAATTGAAAACAGTTACAAACAAATTTTTTAGACCTCATGGCTGCAAAAGTGATTTGTAAACATTTGAGTATACCTTAACAGTTTAAAGAGTGAATTATTATTTTATTTTGTGAGTGCTGAATCATGATTTTTCAATAATTACAGCTGGCAACTGCAAGACTTCTAAGACTTGCAAGCTGGAATTCCAATTGAATGAGTAGCCTACAAAAATATTCAGACTAACGCTTGAAAATTTTCAAGCTAGAGTCAATCCCTACAGAAAAGTTTGTAGAGATAATAAGTAACTGAAAAATGACACTGAGGCACCAGGAACTATGAATTCTTAAAACCTCTTAATATCTTTATTAGAGGGTGTGGGAGGTGAGGTGGGTTCATTTATTTGTTTTAGAAAACCTAACTGCAGTCTCCCAGGCTTTAAAATTATGATTACTGCAAAGACAAGAAACAGATTTACTTGATGGAAGCAGTGAACTTTTTTTGCACTAAAGAATATTTGAGACAACAAATAACAGGCTAGCAGGTAAGAAGAATGAGACATGCTAAGCTTATGTTGTGGACTACAATGATAATTTTTACATGTTTTCTTTCTTGTGTTCCTCAAAGGTTTCCTGCAGGAAAGATATACCATCTCTAGGACAAGGCATTTGCCTGTTTTCAAAGACCGTTAAATTGTTTTTCATCCCCTGCACTTCTGTGCTAGCAACCACTTATTCTGCTTTTTGTGCTGTACTCAAACATTTTACTAAATATGACAGCTTCATCCTTTCAACCCTGAAATGGTAGAGTATTTTACAAAATATACTTCTATTTAAATCACTTTTTTTTCAGCTGTGGTTGTATATGGGAAAAACGTGAGGAAATTGCTGCCAAACTTATACTACTCTATCATCTGAGCGAAGAAAACAGATGTGGCCAAAAAAACCTGCTTAGATTCACTAATACGTCCCACGTACATTTCTTCCAGTCCATGCATCCATTTTTATAATAAACCATTTATTGCACTAAGTTTAAAGTAAAACTGCAATCATGTGAACAGGCAGGTTTCATATTTGGTTATAGCACATCATAATTAACATTTTCTTTTAAATTGAACAGACTCACTTGTTAGAAGAGAAATTGTAATAACCACTTTCCTCTAGAACCTCTTCAATTAGAGTCTACAAGATAAAAGAAATTCATTTCAGTAAATTATCTTTATTAAAAGTAATAAATTAATACATATAGGTATATTTACAGCTTACCTGCAACTGCTCATATGTCATCCCTTCTGCTATGTCACAAGTGCCAACAATACCTTAAAGTAAAAGGCAAGTAATGTTATACTACTGAGTTTGGGCTTTATTCTCCCTCATCAGTTTCTTAGCAATTCCACTACAAATATAATGACAAGAGCAATGCTTGATTAACAGCAGCTTATTCCACTGACCACAATGACCCCCTGCAAAGGTGGGAGGCATCTCAGGCCATGATGTGAACATTTGAGGCACACAATGTTACCACATTATGAAATAATACTAACTAATGGAAAATATTTTAAATGCTTAATGTAACAGAACACAACAATCCAACACTTTACATTATCATGTGCAAGGACAGGTAAATCCTAAGTATGACATTTTCAGTTACAATAATTTTTATTGATTTTCAAGGATGAACCATGTGTTATTTGCATATTTGATACTTCTTTGTAATTCCGAAGTATACTGTCTTAAATTAGTAGAATGCTCCATCAGTAGTAAACTCTGTATCTTACCAGGAATTAAACAAAACAAAAACCAAACCAAACAAAAAAAAAAACCCTGACAATTAAAATCAGTATAGTTAACACAACTTTACAACTTTACTGTCTTTAAAGACAGATCTTAGAGCAGCAATTCCTTCTGCTTTAATACCATTCACTTTATCAGAAATATATAAGCCACTACACAGGTTTTGTTGCTTTCTTTACCTTTTCTATCATCTGGAAGCAACATATTTCCACCTGAAGAGGAAAGTACCACATGCCAATCTGGTGTGAAGAAGTTGGGCTCAATCAGTTCAGGAGAACCTTGCAGCAGCTAGAGAGGGGAAGAAAAAAAAAAAAAAAGGCAGCAAAGGATATCTGAAATCTCTGTCCTTACCATTTAGCAAAACTTCAGACTTCTATGAGGCAGTTAACCCTTTTTCTACGTTTCCTAGTGCAATCAAAAGACAAATGAGACTTCAATGTTCTTTAGAGTAATGAAAAAGTGAACACAATTATGAATGTCCTACCTTCTTCTTTCCAGAAACACTGACTGAACATTGCAAGCTGCCAATCTGCACTTAGTATAAAGCATTGAGTTCTTTAGACTATCTGGATAAAATATTATAAACTATAAATATGTGTGAAGATAAACAGTGAAGTGTATTCCCTCAAATCTAGGAGAGAAATAGCTAATGACTGGATTTCGGAACTCGGGCTTCAAGTTAAATTGTTCGTCCATATTCAAGCGATATAATTCCCATTAGAAGGACCCCAACACTTCTGAAACCTGAAAGTCACTTTAATATGCAGGCATGGTTCTTTAGTCATGCCATTCTTGCAAATCTGCGCTATTTTTAAACCGATGACACTAAACTGTTTCTGACACACTGCGCAACAATGGGACAAGGTATGCTATATTCAAGACACTCTGGGATAGTGCCTTCTTAAAATTCATAGTTCTAGTAGGAATCCATTCCAAAACATTAATAATACTGGGAAACTAACATTAAATTAAGAAAAGCTTACCTAAATTAAGAGCTTACATAATCTTTATCAGCCTTTGTCACAAAAAATTACATTTTCCTTCCTCTTCTGAGCTCTGACAACATCAAGTCTGGTTTTGCATATTAGCAGCTAGCAGGTCCTTTCCATTTACAAAACAAATGTTCCAATGATCAGACACAACTTGAAACCAGTCTGTAGAAACCGCTTATGTAAGAAGCCTCCGTATTTTCCAAATAAAGGATAGCTAGAGAACATTCTAAATATTTCCTTTTCAAAAGGGAATCTTACACTTACGTTTTTGTGATATTTCTATCAATAGCTTAATTCAAATACAAGAAGAGACAAAGTCGACCACAGGTAGTAATTGGTATACTGCACCTTTTTCATTTCTGATTTCAGTTTACATGGATTGCTCTGCTGACTGAAGAGGGACTTCTTGAATCTCTCAATGATTCTCCTTTTCAAGTTGCATTGAAAAGCTGGAGGAAGCTATACGAAACAAAGAAACAGATGTTTTCACTGCTCAGTTACACCTCCCATAAAGATGACCTAATCAGCAGTACCATTATTGAAAAAAGCAGCTATGCTGCAAAAAGAAACACTGATGTTTAATAGCATGGTGATAAACAACAGTACAAGACTTGATTTAATGGCATATTACAATAATGCTCCTTAGTTTGCCCATTCTGTTAGGCTTGGCCTATCACATAAATCACTTCCTCTAGCCTTGAAGGTAAACATCATTATAATAAGCCTAACACGGGTAATACCAGATTTGCCTCCCTGATCAAAGTGCCAATATTTGGGACATTCTTCTATAGATTAAGCCCATAAGAACACTGAACTAGATTTTGTGTTAGCTATAATAAGTCACTCCAGCTGAAATTAATGGAACTTCAAGAAGCTCAGATTTTCATTCAGTGTGTGTCAAAATTAATGTGACTCTTCCTCATGGCTTCAACAGGCTCTTTTAAGGTCCTTATGTATATCTTAATACAATTCAGAATGTCTCTTTTGCTAGAAACTTCATGTGGAAGCTAATTTACACTTCACTTGTCTATAAAGCAAAAATTATTTCGTACACTTCTCCTATATTTTTTAGTTGAAAAAGTACACACCTTTCAACCATATTTACAAAAGAAAAACACAAATTGTACTTTAATGTATTTTAAAGTCTTCAAGAGGCAGTTCAAAGGAGGTCTCTTCCTTTGCTCTTTAGCATTTTAAAACCGTTTTTATGCTTCAACAGTAAATGTTAAGCTTCAGCTGTCGGGTCAATGCAATGACACCAACCCAGACTGATAACAACTCCATGGTATTTACTACCCTTTTGGAAAGATCTCCTGTGCTGTTTCTGTACAGTTGCTTATACCTGGAGACAGTGTTTATAAAGCTATGATTTTCCACCATTTAGTACAGAGTTTACAATCACATCACTGATGTAAACTCACAAAGTGCCACTCCATTGAATTTAGGAAGCTTTTTGACTGCTCAAGGAAGGTTTGACCACTAATGATCCACACTCAAACACTGTCACAGTACAAATATAGAGATTTTTTTTCCTCATTGGAGCAAATTACTGCTCTTAGATGGCTATAAATCTGGAACAGCTACATTGGCCTCACAGGAGTCCTGATTTGCTCTGGCAAACCAGGGATCAAGGTTACATCCTAAGCATAAAAGACTTAATCAGAAAGCTGTTTGCATAGTTTTTTGTTACAGACAGATTCATGCAGGTAAGGCCTTACACATATGCTTTAAGTCAGGTGTTGAATACTTAGCCTATAAGTGAGTAAAAAAAAAGTCATACCTTAGGAAAGGCCTGCACGATACTCTATAGACTACATGCCACTGAAATGAACCATGTGCAGGTAATGCACCATGGGCATACCGGCATATTCTGAAGTAAAGGTGGTAAAGGACAAATCCACAGCATGAGAAACTTGGAGTTGCCTCAGGCAGCAGTGTTCAATTTTAACTTTTGTTTTAATGAAATAAAATGTCAGATCAGTTTAAAAAAAAAAAAAAAAAAAAAAGGCCAAGGATTTACATAATGCTTTTTTAAAAAGCTTTCTCCTACATTGTTTTCCAGAGATCACTCTAACTCTTGTTCCCATGGAAACTGGATTGGGAAGGCTGATGGCAGTCGAGAACTAACAGGCAAGAACTATCCCTTGTAAACTTCAGTTTACAATTGTCAGCTGAAACATAACAGTTTTAGAAAACTGTTACATATTATAAAAAATATTCTACCTTAGATTTGTAAGAACATAAGTACAAGAGAAGCACATAGAGTACACAGCAAACAGGTACAGGTATGGATCCTGGTTTCTCTGCCTTCCCATTCCAAACCCAACTGACACCAAAAGTATCAAAGTTGTTACTACTGCTTCAGTGGTCAATTCTGAGAGAGTCTTTGAGTTGCTGTTGGTTCTTGGTTACAACGCAACCATGTTATGACAACTTGCATTAATTAGTAGGCCACTTGAGAAAATCTTCTTCAATAGAAAAGGTAGGTTCACTAATGAGCATCTTGGACATATTCCTAATGTGGCATGTAAAGACTGAAGTACCTCACTTCTGTTAGCAATTGAAGGAGATAATTCTTGCAATAAATTAATTAAATTCAAATTATTTTAAATAACAATAGTTTTATTGTCCCTGATAATTTATTTCCTGTGTTACCTGTTTTGATAAACTTGACAGTTAAAAAAAAAATAAAATACACCCAAGTGCAGTTATGCTATTCTGTTCTACACAAAAACATACAAATTCAGCTCAGCAATCTGAAAATCCCCTGAGGTGATAAATACAACTTTCCAAATATAAACAGTTCATGTTGGAAAATAAAAATATGTTTGTCTAATGACAGCAGATTTTGCAAGTAACTGAATAGCAGCCATCTTTCTGGAGAAGGAAGTTTTCCATCACATTTTTACTTGAGGGTTCAATGTGGATTTATATCAGCTCCATTTTGGCTTTCACATCAGCATGAAATAACTTTAAGACTCTTTCGCTATGAAACAGTTGAACTTAATTTTAAAATAAGTTTTAAGTTTGAAAAGATCTGACATCTCAAAATATTAACATATGCATGATTTGAACTATTGCACTAGAAATCCCAATAAATTATTACTATTTATTGTTAATAAAAATTATTACTTAAAAGTTATTTAGAAATTATTGCTACAGAGGAAAGCATTTAATGAACTCTCCGTGTCAGTATATGATATTAAGTCACTTAAAATATTTATATTGCTGGCATGACAGAATGTTGTAAAAATAATTTACCGTACAATCCATTTTTCTGAGGTGAGCCACTGAATTTTTTTCATATGACTCAATTATTGCCATCCTCCACATACTAATATTCAAGGTTAGTCTTTATTTAAATGATATATTTTTAAAGCATCCTGCCATCTGCAAAAATGTCAAGTTCTGTTGTTTTTAAAGAACAGTGACTAAATTAGCAGCACTTTGCAGTACCATCATTTTGACAACAGCAAATAACTGAAAAGTATAGAATGTCAGAAGCAACAGTAATGCATACTTGAGTGATGAAGATAATTTTGTGCAGCTGAATAAGAATCTGCTGAACAGGGTCACTGATCTGACGCACCTTCTGTTGTGATACAGAAATTCCTGCCGATGCTGTAGATGACAACAGTAAAATCAGGAGAAAGTTCATTTTGTTGCCTTACTATATTAATGGCGTACACTGTTTAAAACCCATAGATGTGAATATTAAGTTTAACTGCATGACTTGTTTTTCCTAATCGTAAATATTTTCCTACATTCACTCAAAAGGAAATTTAAAGATATGATAAACAGAATTTTCTTATTTTAACTGATTTTTTTTACATAGACTAGCATACATGATATTTTTCTTTTTAATATTGTGATGTTATGAAATTTATTTTCATTTTACCTTAAGAATTACAATAAAATGTCTGATGCAGCCCTTCTGGAGAATAATTTTATTAAAATATATTTTCATGTTGCTTATAGTGATGTGTGTTGCTTTATCACAGGTACTTTTTGTTTCCAACATTTAGCAAGAGCATATATTGAGAGAAACCTCAAGAAAACGTGCAAGAAGCTATGAATCTCTTGGGTCTTCTTTACTTTGCATCAGAAAATTAGTGGTGTCTGTTCTTTGTCATTAATTCCTCCCCACCAGAGATCACCCTTTCTAAAAGACATAGTGATGGAGACTGTGGAAATGACCTGTTAGCAGCATTCTCCATGACCAAAATGACATCATCAGAAAGCGCATAAATGGCATTTTCATGTTTAGACTGAAAGAACATTAATGCTAATCAAAGAATAATGCTGTAAAAACTCCTCCCTCTGCAAATGAAAGAATACAGACAATTGCTCTGTATTACAGACTGTATATTGCTTTTGCTAGTGAATTCCATAGAAATAGTAGTGTTGGCCTGTGAATATAAAGGAAAAGTGTGTTTTAAAAACTTTTAAATGCAAAGCTAGTTAGATATTGGTAGAAAATGCATGAAGTGACGCAAACCACAAAATGGGGTTATGCAAACCAGAAAATATTAACACTGATTCAATTCCCATGTACATATGCATGTAATTATGAGCTATGCACATTACATACACGCTATATGCAACAAAGATTTTATCCCCCCCATCCCATCATATTATATGGAATACAAAAGTTGGATTATTTTAAGAAAAAGAGACTAAACAAATTTAGAAATTAAATATTTTATCAGTTTTGAAAAGTGTTGTGTCTCGTAATATATCTCCAGATCATTTCCCTAAGTATTAACATTTCAAGCAGACTTGTACATGAGACAGATCAGAAGATAAAATATTCATTGACTAATTACTAGGAAGAGATCATGAAGCTGGAGAGACATAATAAGAAAGTAGTGGCACTTTGAGAAAACAACATTGCTATAAGCTGTTTCTAATGTTTTCTTTGAAAACAGATATTTAAAAAACCTTTTTTTAAACACACTGTATTTGAAACATATCCTTTAGCTATTACCTAACAACATGCGCAATAGATATGCATACACAAATTCATAAACAGTGCACACATAGATTTATATTTTAGTGCTTAACTATTTAAATGAGTGCCCAAATGTGATCTTTGCTAAAAAGGATCCATCATACCCAATGACAATGACGCAACATTTTGTAGTACAAATTCGGAAGTAAAGAACAGAGTCAGTTTGGAATTAAAAGGAAAAACATGACTTTAAGAATATTGCAGTACTTCAAACATTTAGGCTTCCTCGTATCATTTTTATTAGATAATTGTTGATTTTATTTAGATAACTGTGTGAATTAGCAAGGAGCAGGAAAGCTGATTTTTTCTTGTATCATGAAAATAGCGAGTAGGTGTAAACCTGTTCCTCTTCCTCTAAAGCTAGACTACCATCCTCTGTCAAGCAAATACATGTACATAATGTATATTTTTCATAGACAAAAACACTTCAAAGGAAGTCATGCATTAATAGAAGCTATGCTTTTCTTTCAGCAAAATAAATTTAACACAACAATTTTAACCTATTTACTTCTATGTGTTAAAATCAGATAAAAAAATTATATCAGCTATGTGTAAGTATTTAGTTCTTGGGATCATGAAAACAAAAGCTTGAAGTGAAAGTTTATTTCCCCCACTGAACTACTGTTTGGGACTTACCACAAACAGCCATTAAATCAGATATGGTCTCAGTCATCCGGAATTTGAGGTAGATTTACTTGTCTGCTGTAGATACCTTTTTTTTTTTTTTTTGTAGTTCAAGTAGCTCGGTGATTAAAAGACTGTGCTCTATTTCTGAAGCAAAACTGCCCTAATTTACCAGCAAGTAATATCAAATATCCATGTGATTTGTTTCCTGACATATTTAATGAGATATTTGAAAAATACTAGCCAAAGGTAGCTTAATAAAAAGCAAAACCAAATTCACTTGACTACCTAAATGAGTAAGCATTACTTAAAATTTACAAAGCACAATAAACTCAGTACTGATCTGTGGATATTATACCTAAAGGTTGACTATATTTTGTTAACTAAAGAGCATTATGAACTTATCTATTGAACCAAAAAAAAGATGTATAAATTTATTTGTATTCCATGGAATAATTTTAATTCCAGCCGTAAGAACCAACAGAGAAATACTACTGATCAAGCTTAATTTAATAGAATTAGGACACAGAAGTAAATATTATGTATTCTACAAACTGTGTAGATTTATAAAATATCATTCAGATTTAAAATATAACAATTAATACAGAACAGCTTGATTCTTATTTATCTAGTGCTCCTCTATCATGCTTTGCCTGCTGAGAAGACGATGACATCATTGCTATTGTCAGATTTTTTGTGGCAATGCATTTTGGCAGATGGGTTGACAGAGGCAAGTGAAATTAAGTTTGACATTTTTTCCCTAAGTTTCCTCTTAATAATAAGCAAGAGGAAAAGAAGTCTTGCATTTCCTCTGAGCCACTTAAGGAAGAATTTAAATTGGTCTTATCTGCTCAAGGTGACAGTGGAAGCCATGCTATAATAATGTAAAATATTGTATACCACAAGAAGATTTTGATTTAGCTCTTTTTGACTCATTTTCACCTCTCTAACAACTGTTTCAACACTGTTATATTCAATCCCAAAATAAACAGTGTGCTCTTGCTGTTACAATCTAGGAATCTTCAGTTTTTGTTAGGACAGTGATAAAAACTTTACTCCCTTGACATGTTACCTTTTTCACTGCTCCCTGTTCTGTGGTATTTCACTTCTCCTTTGCTGTCAATGGCTTGTATTACAAAAAAGAAAAAAAAAAAGAAAAAAAAAAGAGTGCCTTTCTTTTGTGGTTCTTCACAGATTTTTATGGGTTTTTTTATGAATAAAAATATGCTTAAGATTATATCAGCAAACAGAAAGGACTGTAGGACAAAATATGGATTTCCCTGTTATTCTGTGTATAGAGCTTTCTCTCTTTTCTAATATGACAGCAACAATACGACTTACCAGTCTAGTAGGACCGGATGCAATATCTACTTGTCATGTCTCCCTTGACATGTTCCCTTTTTCACGGCTCCCTGTTCTGTGGTATTTCACTTCTCCTTTGCTGTCAACGGCTTGTATTAGAAAAAAGAAAAAAAAAAAGAAAAAAAAAGAGTGCCTTTCTTTTGTGGTTCTTCACAGATTTTTATGGGTTTTTTTATGAATAAAAATATGCTTAAGATTATATCAGCAAACAGAAAGGACTGTAGGACAAAATATGGATTTCCCTGTTATTCTGTGTATAGAGCTTTCTCTCTTTTCTAATATGACAGCAACAATACGACTTACCAGTCTAGTAGGACCGGATGCAATATCTACTTGTCATGTCTATGTGCTTCAAAGACAGCTAGAGACCCAATGTTCAGCTAGGAACTTTAGGAGTTCCCATGAAATCCATATACACCAGATCACTCCACAACTATACTTTTTATGAAATACAGAAGTATAGCATTATCTGGGGGATGAGGCAACGTGCGTGCGAATAGGCTGCTGAGGGCTTGATCAAAACTTTTAAGAATTTTACGTAAAAAGAAAAACATTACTGACCAAAGATATTGGTTTTGCTCAAATCACCCACAGGACTGAAAATATTACAAAGGCTGAAGTGTTTGTCTGCAGCTCTGATACATTATGGCTGGATAGTAGGTTTAAACTGTACGTTAGTATTATAATGGCACGCTTCAGTAAACAGCATTGAAAACTGCTGGAAGGGGACAGAAAATTTTGATTTGTACTGCATAACTAAAACTCCTAATACAATTTTTATATCAAAAAGTTGTGAAATAGAACTTAGTATAGATAAAAAATACTTTTTAAAAAATGAAGATCAATATTTCAACTGCTCAAAATAGATTTTTACAGTATGTGAAGATTCTCAGTAAGAAAGACAAGTATGTCAAATGGAAAACGCCTTTCATCAATGATGATGTATAAATACATGATACAAAATATTCCTTTCATAGGAGAAATTTCCACTGCATTCAGCAGAAGTTTAGCCAGAATAATGACCATTAAAACAAAGTCTTACTGATTTACTGTTGGAATTCATATTTTAAAGAAATTCCTTAAGTATATTTCAGATAACACATTTGTATCTGAAAGGTAATTATCTCCTTTTCTAACAATTTAAAATATAACTATTAGATAATACCATGATTTTTCATATTGCAAAGAACTACAACTGGAAGACTATAAGGCTGCCACCCTGTCACAAATGAATAAGATTTAAAACTTGAAAATTGTTACATTTAATTTAAGTTAAAGTTTTATTTTGTTCAAGCACAAAATTACCTGGTCGCAGTCGTGATCCTGGACCTTCAATACAATCTCTATTTATTAAAAAAAGAAAAAAAAAAAAAAAGCAGTTTTAATTGTGTTTGGCATCAATGACTGCAGAGGAAATATCAGTATTCCCTGACTCCTTCTCAGGTTTCCTCTAAAGGAAATCTGTCTAAATTCACTATAACTGTGCATTTATAAGTCACATAAGGGCTGGCTTACTCTACGTGTCCAAAATAGCATGACTTCTACGAAATAAAAATTAGACTTCATTCCCTTCCCTACTCAGTTTTTACCCCGGAAAGTATAAAAACAGTAGACAGGATTTTTACATTTAAAACTCAATAATTTACTAGATTACACATTATTTTGCATTTGTACATGTTTAGGGTCATTTCAATTAACCCATTTTATGTATGGAAAATATAAAGAATGAAGTAATCATTGTCCAGTGGATAAAAACAGGAGTAATAATACATACAGTACTAGTAAAGTGGAGGGGAAAAAAAAGTAATATTACATCATCAGGATGGCAATACCTCAATGTCAGAACTATAGGTCCAGATGTTCAAGTGCTAGCTTCTGCTCTACACTGAACAAAAACACAGATTTCACTAGCTCAGACAAGCAACAACAAATGGATACAGCTAGATGGGGAACTGAAAGAACCAATATGATGTTCTGATGGAGGGCAGCCTCAACAGCCCTAGCATGGCAAGAAATTGTATTTATTTTTCAGGTAGTAGGGAAAATTACAGTTGCAAGGAGTAGTTATGCAGAAAGATAAGGAGATAGCTTTGCTAATGCTTAGGTGAAAGGCAGAGATGTTCTAAAAAACAAATGTGCTTGCTTCAGCGCTTAAGCATTAGGAGGCTGCCATTACTGACTGAAGCTGGACTGAAAACAGAAAGCCAGTGAGAGATAAGTGAGCGATTGGATGTTGATATGCTAAGAACAACTCTGAAAAGAAAAATAAAGTATGGTTTTGAAGTGATAGGAAAAGCACAACCAGTAAAAGGATACACACAGAAAATGGCAAGGTTGAAAGTAGGGCTGTAAAGCTGAAGGTAGGGCTGTAGAAATGTTCCTTGCAGCAGTGTTCTGAATGGGCATTTGAGTGACTGGAATGCACGTATCAAAACCGGGAAAGATGTTGCTTGCATGATAGCCTTATGAACCCAAGCAGGAGTTCTAGCAGTGTATATTGATCGGAAAGGCTATATCTTAGAGGTGCCAGGCAGAACAGTGAGACACATTCTGAATGAAATAACTTTGAGAGATGCACAAGTTAAAGCAGATGCTCAGACGTTAAAGTATTGGATGAGGACGGATGTTATTTTTGAGAATGATCAAAAGCCAAGCTAACGGGTAGGGCTTCAGGTACAGACAATCATGACATTCCCTGTAGTTATGTAGTACTTAACTATATGGCACATGGCCACGAAGAGATCTTACAGAGATGAGCAAAAATTGTTCAGAAGGCAGATGGGGCCATGAGTGATTTTAGGATTTTTTTTCAGATGAGAAAGAAAAGCAGAAATTAAAAAACAAAGAACAGAGTCTATGAATAAGAGTGGTGCCAAGGAGGTCAGAAAAAATAATGGCTAGTCAAGAATGTGGTTGATGCATTTCTGAATAAATAACAGAAGAAAAAGGAAAGACCTTTAGAAGGAGAATGGGGATGGCCATGCCATATTCTGTTTTGGATAGTTTCCTTTTTGAAAGAAACGAGGAGGACTCCAGAAATCACAAAATATAACTATCTTTATAAAGAAGGTCTAGAGGAGTTCAAAGCGACCCTAAACTATTACTTTGCACTATCAAACGCACAAACACATTTTTCTATAGAAAAACAGGCACTTAAAAATGCAAAAACAGAATTTGGTTAACCAACTAATGTCAGTTTAAACTGATGTTGTAAGGTCCACTTTTAAAACTATTCATCGGTTCAGTGCCAGTCCCCAAACCACTCATGTAAAGCTTCGCTGTTCAAACACCCTCAAACAATATCCTCAAGCAGATCAAGTGTCATAGGCTGAGATAAAATGAAGTTGTAATGATAAGTAAGGAAACGTTTCATGAGGGCAACCAGCCAACTGCTCTACTGTGAAACGAGTGACTGAAATTGATCACAACAATGATCAATTATACAATCTATATGAAAATCATAAATTGTACCTACCTAATCTGAGGTTGTCTTTCAGAAGCACTAAAACTTTGTTTAATTATACCTGAAACAAATGCATAAGTATTATCTCTGCATTAAAAAAATACATATACGTGCATTTTAATATTTCCTATTTCCCATACATGGTGACAAAATAACTTTTTTAAAGTAGTGTCAAACAAATTCAAAACCCCATTTGACTATGGAGTTGCTGTTTGATGTATCAAAGATTTACTTACATCGTAACTAAAATCTCAGCCCTGCACAGCATTTTTATTAATATTTTCATAATTTCACAGAAATTAATAACACACACTGACTAGATGTCCACAGAAGATCAGTCTGGATTTGCACTAAATAACTACCTCAGTTACTACTATCACTGTAGTTACAATATTGTTTCTAGCTTGGATAAAAAGCTAGAACATTTACTCACTTGCTCAGAGGACCTTTGATGGATGTCTAAACCTTGCTCTACCTGAGTCTTATCACCACCATTCTATTAGCTAACTATTCAAACTACTACATATGCAATACCTTACTTCTTACATAATTCTCTTGATTTTAAGACCTTGAAGACAGGGGTATGACCAGTTATTGACCAAACACCTAATCAGTAATAAAACTGAACACAAACATTTATGTCATTTTTTGCACAGTATCAGAAAAATGTGAAGAAGGAAGAGTAATGTTTGATGATATATTTATTATCTATACACTTGGAAAGCATTGTCTTAAAGCATTTGTCTTCAAACATTCCTGTAAAACCACTTCTTTGATGGTCATTGTGACATGTGAGACCACCCTCTCCTAGAAATTATCTCTCACTTTGAATGCGGAATAAGTGTATGTTTAAATCAAAACATATTTCATCTAACTGAAGGTCTGAATAGTAAAATTAGGAAATTCTACAATTTTCCCACAAAATTAATGCATTTTAATATAATGCATTTTAATATAATACCCTGGCATCTTTGTCTACATGAGATGTCTTCCACATTAGCAACATCATAAGCATTATCATAAAATAAGAACAGAGGCATCTAATCACTCAAACAGTAGCTAAGAAAAAATATTTTATGCCAAATTTACACTAGTTGTCCCATTGTTGGTCTTCTTATGGCAGTTATATTAATTCTAGAGCAACAGTAGAGGTCTTTCAGAGAGCAAACACATTTCTGAGTCTTAAATATTTTTTTTGTGTTCAAACATACTTTCTGTTGTGTTCTGAAATATAGTGCCTCTATTTTTCCTACTTTTCTGAGATCCTCTAAGTTTTAAAAAAAGATAAAAAAATCCTGAAGGAGGCTGGCATCTGTCACACAAACTTCACTTTAAAACCAAAAGAAATTATACATCGTTAGGCCAAATCTGTCTCCCTAAAAAGAAGACACACAGACAGAACGAAAGAAAAGAGAGACAGTATTTTATTCCTTGATAATGCTTTGCTTAGCAAAACAGATGTTAAAACTCTGTAGTAGCTACCCCAAAAGAAGGTTTCATAAGAGCAATAGATTTACATAATAGCAAACAAATTAGGCTCTTATAGAAGCCAGGATACTTCAATTAACTTTAACACTCAGACAGGAAAACAGATAGGAAAACACAGAGTCCACTGCCTAGAAAGTAAATTTGGCCTTTGGGGGAAAAAAAAAAAAATAATAATAAAGTGATTGTGCTTATTCAAGGAACAGAAATGTTACCTGGTTAGGATATAAACACAATAATACAAGTACGAAAGTAGAAGCTCTGACTGAACCTGAATCAGGTTGCTTGGGGTAAGGACTCTGAGTTACAATCTCAGACACTCTGTTATAACAAAGACTATAATATATTATGGGAATATATGTGAGATAATCTGTAACAGAAGCTGCTTGGCTAGAAAGCTAAGTTTGAATGCAGCTCTTTGCTAAGAATTTTAGAAACAGCTCCCCTTTCCGAGTACTCATATATAAAATTGGATTTGAAATACTATACCCTTTGGCCGTTTCAAATAAATGATCTCTCTATCAGTAAGAAAATTTGGATATGAGCCCTTTAATCAATTTGATGACTTACCATATTTGACTTGCTAATCTGCCAGTTTATGAGTGTATTTACAAGTGCATGATATTTCACACCACTCACTGTACATGGCAGAGATGCAATATTTTCTGATTCATATGCTAAAGTTAGGAAAATACTTATTAATGCTAACCCCCCTGAAATAATGATGCAGAACATCAGTAAACAATAGCCAACACCTTTCAGCACTATTTTTATTGCTTATTATTATGTTAGAGATCCACTAAGCAGCTACAACTGAGAGGGGAGTCTCTTTATGAAAATACATTGAAATAATTTATTCAATAACTAAGCACGAGGAGGCTCAGACATCTAAAAATCATTTCTCAAGAGAAATCTGAATCTTAGACAAAGTCAAACTTGGAAAAAACAAAGCTAAAAACACTGTAGGATCTCCAAAATTCTTCACAGACAGCACATTGTGCAAATTATGCATTTCTTGATGCAATAATCATTTTCAAGAAATTTCTTAAGCTTTCCCCTGACAAGCTAAAGAACCATATACAGCAGATGTGAGAAGATCTTACTCCTGAGGCTTACCAAGCTATCCAAATGTCTTATATAAAGAATAAATATCTTCTCAAATAATAAAATCCATCAACAAATACAATTGGTGTAAATTAAAAAATAAAAAAAATTTAGAAAGCTCTGTGATCACAGAACTTGTAAGATATAAGGTAGCTGCCTGCAATTACGCCCCAATTTTGAATGAAACTTCTAGCTCCAGACAGCTAGTGACATTACTGAATGGGTATTTATTTCCTACTGTGTTTGTTGTTATCCTCAAAAATAGTTACATTTGGAGCTAAATGATGACCTAAACACAGAGCTCAATCATTTGCTACATACAACATGCAGCGTTCATATTTTTAGAGTCCTAGTTATAGAAATCCCCAGTTATTCAGCTGAATACTTTTGACTACTTTGAACATCACCTTCATGAGACTCAAGTACTGACACTGTGTAAAGCAATTGTTTTTCTAAAAGCCCAAAGAAAGATATAGGAGGCCCGTCTAGAGTTACATCACTAGAATATTCTTCTGGCAGATCTGTGGTCTCTTCATTACATGGTAACTGAATACTATTGCATTGCAGAAATTTTAGCAAGAAAAGGAACCTTGAATCTCAACGTTTTTGCTTATTGGTCAGAAGTTAGACAAGTTCAGAGATTCCTCTAGATACTAGAAACATATATTAAATTATGAGGTAATAGAAAAACTCATAGGCAAGATATAGCCCAACAACAGGACTGTGCATTGAGACTTCTTAGCCTCATGAAAAGTTAGTAGCTGCGCAATTCTGAAAGCAGACAACAGGTGTCTGCTTACCTTTTTATTGTGAGGAAGGTCAGAGGGCAAGTACATAAAATCCTAGGGAGCAGGGTTTTCTAATAGCATATTTTGCCACAGAAGCAGCCTTTCAATGTATTTAGGACATTGTCCTGATTGTAGTGTAAATGAACATGATTCAGGGAAACAAAAAATATTTTCCAAAAAGTGTTCCCAGACAGAGTACTTTTAAACTCTCTCTCACTCAACTGACACACTAGCTCTACTGGACTACAGTGCAGTAAGAGATATGATGTATTTTCCTGCTATTTGGTTTACCAGCAGAAATGCGGTACGGTCACACTGTAAATCAAAACCAAGTAAAAACACCTTCAATATGACTAAGCTAAGGTAAAGCTGGAACTTATTTTAAAATAAGAAAAAATAATGCAAGTAATCATCCCATCACTCTTTGTTGCTTTTTGACTCAGTGTGTCCCTATCCTCTGTCAATCTTTATAAATTTCAAATTGTAAGGACTTCAGGGGAGAAAAGAAAAAAAAAAATCACATATCCCACTACCGTCTCTGTGTTTCTGATGTTTCTGAAATGTACAGAATCTTGCTCTTATGGGATTAATCATCTCAAGTAGCATAAACAACTACTCCAGAATCTACAAACCTTGCATTTGGCAATCTCAGGAATTGTTAAAGGAGCTGGTCTTGTAGAATTACGTTGCCTAGACTAAGAACAATAATCCTTTTCTCAAAGCATAATTGAAAAGCACAGGGTATGTAAAATTATTAAAATATTTTGACAACTAGTAGACTATAAAAAACTCACCACTATTATACTGTCACTCACATGCATATCAGCTTCTGTGCTACGGAACAACTCAATATATCCCACCTTTTTACAAAATACTACCCCAATTTTAAAATACAGCAATATTTTTGTAGATCATGTTTTCTCTGAAAGCGATGTGATGGCAGCATGATTAGACAAACCCTTTCAAGACCTTAATCCATACACCTGTAACTGAAACTCACATTTTCAAGTTAACCATTTCCAAGTTAGCTAGATGAAAGTTGGTCACATTTTCCCCTGTAATGCTGACAGGCTTGACAAAACCACAGCTGATTAATTCATACACCATTAGCCATTTATTAGCAACAAACGGAGCATAATGCAAGCAATAACCAAGTGTCTTGAATTTATAATACTTTTTTTAAAAGCTATCTTATCCTTTTCCCCAAAAAGAAAAAAAAAATTGCCAGCATTAATTACAACTGATCTACAACGCTAATTTCAACATTAAGTAGAAACTACAGGTGATCTAAGAATCTATGGCTGCAGAATAATTTTTCTGAAAAAGTAATCCTGAAGTACCTATGTACTAACTAAACTCTGTGCTGGGAGGAAAATGGGCAATGACTTCTAGAAATTTTGATTGAAGTTACTGGGACAAATAGGAACTGACTAGATCTTTCCAGTTAAAATATTTCATTAAATCTATGGAAATCTGGCAAAAAATATTTAAATATTAGAAAAAGTTTATGTTTTGTTAATGTCTGAATCTTAACAAAGAAAAATTAACAACAAGGAAATCATTATCAACAACGCTTTGGGTGTGGCAAGTTGCAAACTACACAAACTAGCCCACAAATAACTCAACTTCTGAGAGATGCACAATGTGTTATCTTCAGTATATACACCAAAATAGAACACTGCCTCTGCAAGCTGCTCTTCCTCAATATGTTCTTTCTATGCAGCCCCCTTTCACTCTCAGACGAGGCTTCCCTGTACCCTGTAAGCTACTCTTGTTACTCTCTAGCACAAGAAAGTAACAAAGCTTTTTTTTTTTTTTTTTTGTGCCTTTGTGGGTTGGTTTTGGGTTTTTTTTAAAGCAAATTTTTACAATAAACTAAGAGCTGGCTAGCCACAGGCCCTCCAGCCTTCAGAATGGCAGGCTATCCAGTTACAAATAGCAAATCATATTAACAGATTTTAAGTAGAATCATCAAACCATTTCTTTACCCTGCACTAATGGCTAGACATTTTAATTAAAAGCAGTTGTATTTCTTCAGCACCTGGGCCAAAATCTGAAGAAAACACAGCTAGTAAATAGTACTACAAAGAGACTAAGACAGCACTATAAACACGTAAAGTAATGTTATTCTACTTTTTTTGAAGCCTAGGACCCTGAAACAATAAGATTTGTTAATCTTCAGACAACTACATTCCCTTCACTTTTTAAACAGACAGTTTAAATCCTCCACAGATTTTCTGTCAGAATGTCATGGGATGAATGGAAATCATAAAGTTTGCTCAGCTTTAATATCAACCTTTTTCTTCTAGTAAAAAATGCTCTTTGATTTTCCTCTAATCAGAATCCTATCCAATTTAATAGGTAGATCATAGTAGCTCAGAATTTAGCAGGTAGCTCACAGTGGTTGCAGATGTTTCAGCTCTCTCTTTTTTTTAATTTTCATATTTAGAACACAATCCAAAAAACTATTACTTAAGATAACACCCAACACAGCTGGTGCTTTCCTATCTGATTACCATAAATAACTACAGGCAGAATTAATGCTGTATTTTGTCACATAATCTCTTCCTAATTAAAATCGAATCATTAAGCATTCCTTCAGTTCCATTCAGTAAATTCATCTGGCAGCTAAAGCTTGCCTCTTTCAACTTTCTTTTTTACACCCTTTAACAGGGCCCTACATTTATTCATTTGCATAGTATTATTGTTAGTGAGACAGAAGTTTTCACACTGTCTTCCTTCTGTTTCTTATCAACACTGGTTAACTTATACTTCAAATCTAAAAACACTTTGTCAAGTTGCCCAATAATTTTCTAGTTTTCATAGGCATTGCTACAAAATATACAGACAAGCTACACAAAGAAAATGTGATGCAAAACATATTATACTGGAAATGGCTGCCACAGAGGTACAGTTACTTTGGTTTTCTTTTGCTTAGGACCCACAATAGATAATGAATTTGCAACAAATCATAAAATACCCTAATATTTTGGAATAAACAACTATTTTGCAGTTAGAAAGTAGCATACACTTCATTCTTAAGGAATCTTACCAACAGCAGACTCTTTCAAATGACTTGAACTGGAGCTGCTTAAGTTGCCTAATACATCCAGCTCATCATCTAATTCAGAGGACATATCCACAAATAAAATTAAAGCAAAGAAGCTTTTAACACACCTCTGACCAGCATTATAGTACTCCTAATGTTTCTTTTGCTAATGACTACCTTTTTTGGAGTTCTCTAAAGCACTGCGATCCTCTACCACGATTTCTTCGTATGTTCTTTCCTCATCTTTTCCACATGCTGATTGACAACTTCCAGCTGGGAGGTCAGTATTTTCTGAAAATTCACTTTTGCAACTGACTGCTCCATGGCTGCTGCTACAAAGACTCAACTTCTCATAATTTTTCTGACAACAAAGAACAAGGAAATGTTACATATTGTCCTTATCGAGCACTCATTAGAAAACCTGCAGATGAAAATTGTCACTTGTGTATATACACACACACATAAAAAATGTACTTTGTGTTCCCACTTAGCTGTTACTCCAGGACTACACAGTACCTGGTTAGGTCACTAATTCTAAATTTAGAGCAAAACTTTCAAACTCTTAATCTAAACAAAGTATTTCTAGCCTTTACATAGAAGGCATCTTTGTCCTTGATGAACGTCTTTTCATAATAAGGACTTAAAGTGAAAAAAAAAAAAAAATGGAACGAATGCCGGACCAGAAGGAAATACTGAACAACACAAAAAATAAAAGACAGGACATAGATAGCAGGTTCCCAGATAGAAGAAACCAGAGATTTACTCTCTTCCAGCTTAGATTAAAGAATTGCAGATCCGTTCCGGACAACACAAAACCTGCACAACAGTTGAGATGGTAGTAAAATATGAAGTAAACTCTATGTGATGTGATGCCAGACACATACCCCAAGACTGAACTGACCAAATGTAGCAAGGAGTTCTTTAACAAGTATAAAATTCTGCCCCTGCTGTTGTCATTGTTTATAGCTTTTCTGGAAAGAATAGATATCCCTAATTCCTGTTGTTGCTTCTATTTTAATGCAATATATTTTGAAAATAAACTGTTATTATGATCTCTTTATATATTGTTCGAAGTCTTCTCACGTTATTTCTGTTGTGCATAAATAAATTCATGCTTCTTTTTACTCTGTCTTGTCAGATCAAAGCGTGATAAAGGAGAACAGGAGATAAATTATATGAGCATATCGGATTAAACAAATTAGTATCTTTAATATTAAAAGTAATTTCAGGAGATAATACATTCCTTAACACTTCTATTCTTAGCAAGTGTGTCAAAGACAATTTGGCCTGTATCTAAGACAATATTCTTCCAAAGTCTTTCCCATTAAATATTTTTACTTTATCGGGACACAGCAGAATGGGTACATTCTGAAAACCCTTCCTCTTTCAGAAACCTAACTGCACCCCTGAGCATTGACTTCATCTCTGACTGCATAATGGTCTGCTTCAATTATTTCCCCACCTTCTGTTCTACCCCCAAAACTATAACTTAACTTGTAGCTTGTCAAGCTTTTGTCTTTAAATTTGGGTGGGAAAAGATAATTTTATACCTAAGTACTAAACTCAACTTTATGTCTAAGATGCCACAACAGCAGTGACTGCGGACAGCATGGCAACCACTAAGGATGACACTCAAGCTCACTTAAAGAGTAGCCTAGTCATGATAGATGAGAACGCTTACTGTGCCCTGAACATTAAGTGCACAGTTACAGAAGAGAACAAAATCACCTGTTCTACATCAAAGAAAACAAAGTAAAGGGAGAGAAGGGTCAAACTGCATTGACATTTCAAAACTTTAAACTCCTTTCAGCATTGCCAATACTGAACCTCACACTCAAATTACTAATTGTTACCAACAACTTGTAAACTGAGTAGAGCTAACGGGGAAAAAAAAAAAAAAAAAGAAAAAAAAAGATCAAAAAGACTGATGTTACAAATTGGTGTCAGATCTAACTGCCATATCAAGAAAGGAAACCTGTTTGGAATGCCTGAACTGAATTCTGTAGACCTCATAATAAAAATAATCATCAAACCTGCTACAGAAACTGTTCAGAGTTCAGTGAAATGTATCCTAAAGCCTTAAAGCAGTTCTATAAACCGTAAAGCTATAACCTGTCTACACATAAAGTCAAGTCCATTTACATAAGATCTGAACATAGAGAAATACAGTCTCTCGTTACTAATCTGAAAGTAATATATAAATTACTGTGATATATTTTGCCCTACCTAGACAATAGCTAATAATTTTTAAAAGTGAGATTATATACTGTTGTTTCTATTTTGAGCAGGATGCCTGACTGATTTAGAAGGACAAAAGCACCTTGAAACAACCACTTCCAAATCTTCAGAGAGACTTCTTTCAGACAGACAGAAAGACAGATACCTGCCCTTTGAAGAAATCTATTAAGCAGTGTGATATTCAAAATACCACAAATACCAAAACATGAGTTAGATTGATACATACACATCTGAATTGTACTCATACCTACACTTTATTCTTGAGTTTAGAATTTTACAAATCTTTCTGGAGGCTTCATCAGTTAATCCAATTTATTTTTACATTTTCATAATAAACTAGTACCTTGGTTTCTCCATGGGTGTGATTGTTTGCCACCCTTGTTGAAACAAACCTGCCTTTTAGAATAAACAAACACAGTTCAAAAGGAAATCTAAGGGGAAAAGAGTTCTTGTGCAAAAGTGTCCAAGTTATAAACCAAATAATTTTTCCCCCCCAAGAATTCATCTTTATGACTGAGCAAAAGCATCTCTGGAAACACTTGAAATTTGTGTCCCACCCATGACGAAAAACCTGTCTATAAGCTGAGACTCTTCATCTATATCCTGTACACTTGCACTGTCTCTCTCTTCACTGGTCAACATTACCACTGTAAAATCAGATATACTTTACTTCTGGAGAAGTGCAACCTAAATTGCTCTTCTCAACTTCCAGCA